TTAAGCAATACAAAGCATATTCGCCGATATGCCATACCTTCTTTCTGCTTGGATATGCTTCTGAGCTGCTTGGACTTCTGCTCTAGTTGCGTGGAAGCACTCGCCAGCTACTCGAATTTGCCACGTAGTTGCTCGGATGCAGCCGCCAACTGCTCAGATAGGACGCCCTTCTAGTATTCCAGGTCCCACGTGTTGGACTCAGTAAGTTCTCACTCGCGCTGGGCCCACTGGATGTTCTTCTCCACGAGCTTCATCGCCTACTTGAGTTTTTCATTCTCTTCGGCGAGGGACGCCATCCTCTTGATCAGCTAGTGCCGCTGCTCGGTAGTCCAAGTCATCCCTTGCAAACACACAATGACAATGATGAACTTCGATCTCCAACATCAAAAACGAGCATTTTAGACACAATACTAACCTTGATCTGCTTCATCACCCCGACAAGGGCAGTCTCTAGTCTCCTGAGCTCCCTGGTGGTGTCCTCCTCTTTGACAATCACCACCTCATCGCCGCGCTTTCGGAGGATTCGAACAGCTTGGGGTCGAGGTTCATCACGCTCGATCTCCTCCACCTCGTCCTCCTTCGCTGCAGCTAGAGGCACCACCTCGGGGATCGGTGGCCGGATAGCGGGTCCGACCACGCCCTCCGAAACCTCAGGGAGCGCTGTCTGCTCCTCCAGCACCGCAGGCTTCTCCGCTCCAGATTCTAGTGTGACGCCGACAACTCCAGCCTCTGCTCCGGAGGACCCAGCGGTTCCCGCCGTTGCCTCGGCCGCTGCCGCCGACCCGTCCGCCGTCGACGCCAACCATTCGTCACCGCCAAGTCTAGCAGAAGGGGTGGTTGACTCCTCCACAGGCTACCAAGCACCTGAGGACTCTGGGATGGGGTCCATCGGCATCTCCACCACCCCGAGGCCAGCCTTCAGCTGCTCGTCAGCCTGGACGGGTGAGGCCGGATCCTCCGTACGCCTCGCTCTGCATCAGATTAGCTCGTCAATCACCAGGAACGACGGTAAAGTAACTCCAAGGCAAGGATACTTAAGGTTTGGTCTGCCGGTATAATTTCTTGAACCGGCGCTGCCTACTCGAGCCCCCAGGTGCGGCCGTGGGGTCGACTCTCGTGCTTTGGGGTGGAAGTCCCGCCTCCTCCACCGTCGGCATATCCTCCGCCCGCCGTTCTGGGACTTCCTCCACCCACCGCTCTAGGACGTCCTCCACTCGCTGCTCTAGGATTCCCTTTGCCTGCAGCTCAGGGACTCTGTCGCCTGCTGCTTGGGGACTCCCCTCGCCCACTGCTCGGGGACTTTTTCGCCTCTCTTCGATCGTACCTACACGTGAGTGTTGCGTGGAGGCGCCTTTGTGCTCGGTGGAGGAGCCACTGGCACTTTTTCATCATCCGACCACTCGGACACCGCGGCGCTCCACGTCCGAGTGGTTCGGTCACCGCCAAGCGAGATGCCACCCGGCTTGAGAGGAGCGGTACCCGCCGTTCTTCTTTTCTTCTGGGCCGGCTCATCTGCCGCTGCCCTCTTCCCCCGGACCTTCTTCGACACCAGGGGAGAACTCTCCGTTCAACCAGCATCTGTGCCTCTAGACTCTGACGAGGCGCTGGACGCATCTTCCTCAGGCCGAGCCGGTGGCCGAGCGTCTACTCCCCTCGGCCAATCACCCCTCGGCACGCCTGAGAAGTACACCGCTCTTTCCTGCGAATGGATCTTTACATAAGTCAATCAGTTCACTACTCGGCAATGCTTCAGGATTAAAAGTATCGGGAACAAACAATTGAGATAGTTATCTAAGGGGGCGGATTCATGCAGTAAAAGGGTCTCGTCTGCCTCGACACCTGGAACAAGGCCGATGGAGCAAATAGGTCTGCGGCCCGCTCTACAACCTCATCTCTCGATAGCGCCTCCGACCTTTCCCGAGTGCCGTCGGTGTCCCCCTTAAAGTCAAAGCCCATGTGGGCCCTCTCCTTGCAGGGTTGGATGTGGCGCATTATGAAAATCACCGCTACCAGTCCACCGTTGGTCTTCATGCCCTTTATTAGGCCAAGGAGCTCCCTCACTTGCTCCATATCAGCATTGCTTGGCCTCTCCGACCAGCTTTTTTGGCTCTCCGGGATGTGGTTGGCATCGCAGCGGATGGCAGGATGGCTCTGCTTCATGTAGAACCACCTGGCGTTCCACCCCTTCAGTGACGTGTTTAGCGACACAGTAAGGTACTCGCCCACTATTCCATCACATAGTTGAAGATACACTCCGCCGACCACCTCGAAACCGTTGCCGCCCTTCTTCTTCAGCCAGAACAGGTGTCTGAAGAGGTTGAAGTGTGGAAGAATCCCCAAATATGCTTCGCAGAAGTGGATAAAGATCGAGATATGCAAGATGGTGTTTGGGTGGAGATTGCACAAACTAATTGCCCAGAACTCCAACAGATCCCTCAAAAAAGGATGAACAGGAAAACCCAATCCTCGCCAGAAATAATCCTCAAACACCACTACTTCATCAGTGTGAGGCATTGGGAAGGGCTCACCATTGGCTGGCCGCCATCCGGTGGTGACGCGGTCAGGAAGAATGCCCAGCTCCACCAATCTGTCGAGCTCCGCTTCCCCCGTGCGTGACGGCACCCACTCTTCGTCATGGCTGGCTCCGGTACCCACCTTCTTTGGGTTCACAGCTCCCCGTTTTGGCGCCATCTCTCCGAACTGGATGGGGACTAGCGGCAAAAGCGCGTGTGGATGTGAATCTGGAAATGTGAGGGCTAAGAAAGAAGATGAAAATGGCAAAGTGGCAAAGGTGGGAGCGCGGGGTGTGGTGGTGCAGTTATAAAGCACTTTCCCCACCCTTTCGCATTCGAGGGTTTCTAGGAAACCGTTACCTCGATTTGCACCTCTCCGAATTCTCCGCAATAGCAAGGTGGGTTGTTACCTGGGCTTTCGCGCAACCGCGGCCTGTATCTCCGATTTATCTCCGCAATTTGTTACGGCTCGCCGAATATTCGCCAACTTCTCCACCAATCGTTACGGCTCAGTAATTACTACTGTACAGCCGTTACTCCGGTATTTTCTCCGTGGTTTATTTTCTCCAAGATTTCATCTTGTGGCTCGGGGACTGCGTCAGCATTACGTCTCAGTTCCTCTCCGCATGGGGGATTTTTTTTCAGTTGACTGCTGTTTCTGACCCTGGCACCACATGCCTACATCATCTACTGTTAGGCTCGGGGACTAAGTGGGCACACTTCACCTTGCGGTGAATGTGCTTTTTCTCACTTCGGGGCTATGCCTAGGGACTGGCTGCCTGCTCGGCTGGTCTTTTACTATTCTTCTACTTTGGACCCTGGCACCACATGACTACGTCATCTACTGTCAGGCTCGGGGACTAAGTGGGCACACTTCACCTTGCGGTGAGTGTGTTTGCTTTAATCTAGAAGACTCCGTGCCTCTTGAAGCTGAAGAAGACTATCTTCCTTTCTCGTGGTCGGACTTTAAGTGGGCACACTTAGTCCACTACGAATAAATTTTTGATTCTGAACTTAAGCTCCTTACACCCTTATGGCAAGCCGTACTTGGGTCACGCTGCTCGGCGACGGTTCACACTACTCGACGACTGCTCACAACTGCTCGACAACTCATCACGGTGGTCGGACCATGAGTTTGACTGCTCGGCTTTGTTCGCACCTGCTCGAACAAGCTCAAAGACGGCGTTGCACAACGGGTACAAGGCGCTCGGGGACTAGCTGTGGGGGGTACGACCCCGGATACCCACGGCAGACCACATGGGCTACGCCCACAGGGGTGGCCCAGCCCACAAGACGAAGTCTTACGGGACACGACTCTGCTCGGCGCCTCCCGCAAGACACCGAGAAGATATCCTGAAGATACTACGAGATCTGTTAGGATATGTATGATCCCATGATTCCTGTAATTTGTTATTAACTTCCGGTTATCTCTCAGATCTAACTGACTTGTAACCCTACCTCCCGGACTATATAAGGCGGGCAGGGACCCCCTCCAAACTCACGCAATATCATACGATAGCTAATACAAACCAACATACCACAAGAGTAGGGTGTTACGTCATACTGGCGGCCTGAACCTGTCTAACTCGTGTGTCTCTGTTGCCTTCTTGTTATTAATCACACGCTTCTCTGCCGATTAATCTATCTTCGTGAGATACCCCTCGAGGACTGCCGATGATATTCTGTCGACACCTCGGCTTCGTGACCACCTTTGATTCAGTCTGTCAGGAAAGTTCGACCCCCTTCCACTACTTACTGTCGCTGAAAACCGCCTAAAAATCCCTTCTATTGCCAGCAAGCTAGATGCTGCATCGATTCAGTCCTTGGTGAACCTCCGTAGTGAGCTGTTGTCTCTTCTTGAAGATCCAGTCTTGGACAGCGCCATGCTTCCCAAACAAAAGCAGACTTCGGCCAAGAGAACAGATGCCCCAGCGACTGTTGAATAGTGTTGCTCATCTACTCCCTTCTTTTGTTGCCAAGCTATGTATTTTTCTTCTCTTTTGTTACTGCTCCCCTGGAGAAATGGCTGTAGGCCAAGCAACCATGTACGGAGTACTGTGTGCCGTGCAACTGCTATCTTTCAGTGTCCTGAACTATGCAAGTCTCTTCTTTAGACTACGCCCCGTTCGGCTTGCTGAATCTTGACTGAAACTGGCTGAAAACACTGTTCTGGCTGAATTGTTGTAAGAGAAAAATACTGTTTCGGCTGAAAAAAAAAAATAAGTCGAACAAGCTGAATATAGAATAAACCGAACGGGCATACGTCTATGAGTATTTTATTTCCCATGAAAGATGTCTTATCTCTGTTTCAAAACCAAAAAAAAATCCACCGTTGTGTGCATGCTTTCTATGACGAGGTTATTCCATTTGCCAGATAGAACCACTGTCATCACTCGCGCGTATGGGCACGCGCAAATCACTAGTCCTCTTTACCCTGTGAAATGTGAACAAACTAGCAATCTACTACTACTCTACAGTTGACCCAAATTACAACAGCTTGAGATCTCTCAAGTTGCTTACAAATCTTTCCCCGACGGGCGACCCAATCCTGACGAATACGGCCGGGTACCCGACCCGGGCCTCCACCTGGGCCTCGAACCCGCCCTGCACCCCGGCTCCGTACTCGTCGCCGCTCCACACGTGCCTCCACGCCCCGGCGCCGGCCGGGAAGTAGGCGGTGACCGCGGTCCGCCCCTTGTCCATCACCGGCACCACCAGCATCTCCGTCCCGACAAGGAACTGCTGGTACGTGAGCGCCTGCACGCGCTCGTCCGTCGGGTAGTGCAGGAACAGGTGGCGCGCCACGGGGAGCCCCGTGCGCGCGGCCTCCCCGACGAGCCGCGCGCGGTAGAACTCCCAGGCCTTGTACATCTTGGCGCAGCGCGCGAAGTGCGCCAGCGTCCGGCCGCTGGAGTAGAACTGGCAGTTGGAGCCCGGCCTGTTCCCCTCGTGGGTGCGGAACACCACCGTGAAGGCGTTCACCTCCATCCAGCGCAGCAGGAGCTCCTCGCTGCGGCGGTAGCGCAGGAACGGCGGCAGGTCGACCGTACAGTAGCCGCCGGCGTCGCTGTGGTTGAGCGGGAACCCCGAGAGGCCGCCGCTCAGCAGGCCCACCACGCTGCTCTTGATGCCGTCGTTCGCCTGCCAGCTCACCATCTGGTCGCCCTCCCAGAACAGCATCGCCCAGCGGGAGCTCTCCCGGAACCCCGACCGCACGAAGAACACCAGGCCGTCGTCGTCGTCGCCGCCCTCCGCCGCCGTCTCCGCGGCACTGCGGCGGCTGGCTTTCCACTCATCGGCGAACTCGCGATTTACGCGCGCCCACAGCTCCGGGTACCGGTTGTGCGCGGCGACTGGGTCCTCGCCGGAGTGCAGCCGCGCGTCCAGAGGCAGGCCCTCGCCAAAATCAGCCATCCAGCCGCTGACGCCGTGGTCCACCATCCCCCGCAGGACGATGCTCTTGAACCAGGCGTGCGCCTCCGGGTTGGTGAAGTCGAGCATCGCGACGTCGAACGCCGTGTTGGGCATCATGTACGGCTCGCCTGCCTCGTCCCTCACCAGGATGCCCAGCCTCTTGGCTTCCTCGAACAGGTGCCTCTTCGTGTTGGGCTTCTCATCCATCTGAACAAGAACAAGCCAACGTTTTCTTCAAACAAAATTCAGAACACCGTGCAAGCACACTAGCCTCTCTGGAATGATCGGTGAACGAACGTACCGGCACAAGGCAAGGATTGCAGTAAGTCATGGTCCTGATGCCGTGGCTGCGAAGGTCAACTACAAGATCCTTCCATCCACTGTAATGAGCATCATCAAGCTCCCAGTTCCACCAGAGCTGGGATCCGATCGCCGTCTTCCTCTGGCCAACCCAATCCTGCAGAGACCAGCAAGCCAACGTGCAGCAAGCAGTTCAGAGCCAGTTCAGGGTGCCTCAGTCAGGCACCGAGCATATCATGAACCGTCAGTTTCTCATCAGACCTGTAGCCAGAATGCAGAGACTGGGACATCGTAGTCCTTGAGCTGGTCCCAAACCCTGCGGACGGTGTCTGTGCCACCCTGCATGCCGACAACGGCACCGGACGTGATCCACCTGGGAAGAACCGGCGGCCGTCCGGTTGACTCCGTGTAGCTGGTGAGCAGCTCCGTCGGTGAGTCGCCGTCTAGTATCCGTCCCTGGACTGAATTGCCATAAATCTGAAGAGAGCAAAATCAAGAGTGGAAGTACTCGATGAGCCTCCTCAAGTGCACAATGTTTTCAAACTGGTTGTGTGGAAAGAAATTGATGCTTTGTACGTAGATTCGTTGTCCTGTTGAACGGCTGCCTACCTGAATCTGCACTCTGTCAGGTCTCGTCAGGTCAAAGATGGAGTAGTCGTATCCTTCAAGGTACAAAGATCTCATCTTTGAGGTCATGTAGAATGGAGAGGGAGCATATGTCGTGCTCCAGTTTCCTCCTGACCTGAAAACCACCAGCAAGGACACACTAAATCATCTCCAAATAAAGTCAAACAAAAAGTTGGCACCAGTTGAATTGAATCCTACTGTAATAACCAAAAATACTGCAGAGTCCGGAATAATGTCACTCCATTATCTGGGGAAAAAAACAGTCAGGACTATGTATGAAAACGGTACGGATATTTATTCGACCGTCCGTTCGACCGAACAAATATGAACACTTATCTGGATAGTTACTCGGATATCCGTAATTTTTTTCGGATACGGATACTAAAACGGATATCTTAGGCGGATATCAAATACGGATGTAATATCATCGATATCCGGCGGATATCGGATAATCCGGTTAAGTATCGGATATATCCGGATATTTAAAAACGGATATTATCCGGATATTATTCAAACGACCTTGGATGGAGAAATGATCAAAATAAAAATTGTAGATCTCTAAAAGTTATGAAACTTTATTGTTTACAACTTTTTCGTTTGAAATCATTTAGTGCTTCAAAATTTAAACCGTCCAAACTTTCTCAAATGGAAAACTAGTTTATAGACGTCAAAATTTAAAAATCACAAATTTGAACCATCCAAACTATCTCAAATGGAAAGTTGACCAAAACAACAATTGTAGATCTTGATGAGTTGAACAAACTTGGTATTCAAAACTTTTCAATTTGAAGTCATTTAGAGTTCATAATACTAGAGTCAAACTGTTGTTTTTTCATTTGACCAAATTTGACTTGGTCAAACTTGCTCAAATGAGACACTAAATGACCTCAGATGAAACAACTCTGAATACCAAGTTTGATCATCTCAACAAGATCTACAATTGTTACACAGCTCATTTTCTCATTTGAGAAAGTTTTATCAAACACTAGTCACAAATTCTTGAATCTCATATAGACTTTCTGAAACTATGTCACACACTTGTGAAATTTGAACTATATTTTGTTTAAACTTTCTCAAATGAAAAAATGGCCTATATAAGGATTGTAGATCTTGATGAGATGAACAAATTTGATATTCAAAACTTTTCAATTTGAGACGATCTAGGGTTCCGAAAACTAGTTTGTAAACGTCGAAATTTAAAAATCATAAATTTGAACCGTCCAAACTATCTCAAATGGAAAGTTGACCAAAACAACAATTGTAGATCTTGATGAGTTAAACAAACTTGGTATTCAAAACTTTTCAATTTGAAGTCATTTAGAGTTCATAATACTAGAGTCAAACTGTTGTTTTTCATTTGACCAAATTTGACTTGGTCAAACTTGCTCAAATGAGACATTAAATGACCTCAGATGAAAAAACTCTGAATACCAAGTTTGATCATCTCAGCAATATATACAATTGTTACATAGCTCATTTTCCCATTTGAGAAAGATTTATCAAACACTAGTCACAAATTCTTGAATCTCATATAGACTTTCTGAAACTATGTCACACACTTGTGGAATTTAAACTACATTTTGTTCAAACTTTCTCAAATGAAAAAATAGCCTATATAAGGATTGTAGATCTTGATGAGCTGAACAAACTTGGTATTCAAAACTTTTCAATTTGAGACAATCTAGGGTTCCGAAAACTAGTTTGTAAGCATCGAAATTTAAAAATCACAAATTTGAACCGTCCAAACTATCTCAAATGGAAAGTTGACCAAAACAAGAATTGTAGATCTTTATGAGTTGAACAAACTTGGTATTCAAAACTTTTCAATTTGAAGTCATTTAGAGTTCATAATACTAGAGTCAAAGTGTTGTTTTTTCATTTGACCAAATTTGACTTGGTCAAACTTGCTCAAATGAGACACTAAATGACCTCAGATGAAAAAACTCTGAATATCAAGTTTGATCATCTCAGCAAGATCTACAATTGTTACATAGCTCATTTTCCCATTTGAGAAAGTTTTATCAAACACTAGTCACAAATTCTTGAATCTTATATAGACTTTCTAAAACTATGTCACACACTTGTGAAATTTGAACTACATTTTGTTCAAACTTTCTCAAATAAAAAAATGACCTATATAAGGATTGTAGATCTTGAATCCATGACCATGACTCCATGAGACCCATGAAGCCATGAGCTTGGCTATTTCTACTCATGCCGCGAAGATTGGTGCTTGTATGATGTTTGATGTATGATGTACCTGTATCTTTATCTTATTTGTTGCTTTACGCTTTAGTCTTCCGGCTTAATCTAGATGGATTATGGACTCATAGAGTGGTGTAATGGTTTGCGCACGTATATATATATATATATATATATATATATATATATATATATATATATATATATATATATATATGTGCTGCTTTTACTCAATATCCGAATAGATATTTGTATCCGACCTTCTCCGAATCTGATTCATACCGTATTCGATACTCATTATTCGTATCCGTAACCGAGTCAATCCGTATTCGTATATGTATCCGAACGCTATCCGTGTCCGAATCCGAATCCGAACATAAATATGAAAATAAATATAATATGAGTGATATGCGTTCGTATCCGATCCGTTTTCATCCCTGGTCAGGACAGGCATTCTACATTTGAGAAATACACAACCGCGCTAGTGCGCTTTTGTCGAAAACGAAAAGAGAACGTTTCTTTCCTCATGTTTTCCCTTCCCGTAGATAAGTATACTGTTATAAAGGTACAGAATCCCAAGCACACACGCACAAGAAACTGGGGCAATCGTTGTCGATGTGATGAGTTTCCAGTTTCCACTTCACACTAGTAAAAGTTTCAAAAAAAAAAAGATCACAGTTCGGTTCGTTTCAAAGCCACACACTATCGGTCTTGTTGTTTTCGGCCATATTCGTTTCGCTGAAAAATACCGTTCACTGATTTATTGTGAGAGAAAAATATTTTACTATAATTGATGAGTCAGGCTGATAAGTTCAATCAAACGAGGCCGGATCATAAATCCTTATACGTTGCAGGTTCATCAATGGCTGCAATAAAGTGGCAAGACCAAGATAACAGGATAAGCTCAATTTGTGAGACATATCCGCCCACCCATGCTTGCAGCCTGGTCCAGGCCTTGACTTGCATAGCTATCCTTCTTTGCGAAAAGGGCTAAGCATCTCTAAGAGGATAGCCAAATTATTTTCTAAATATAAATTTAGCTATTATTAAAAAAAAGAGTCTCTAACAGACTCTATAAATGACTATTCAAATTTAATAGCTCTCCGTCCCACCTTATTCACTTTCTACTTTTGGATAGTCTACCTCACTAGCTATCCAGTCTCTTGGTTTTACAGAGTGTGTTATAATACTCTAGTATTTTTTATCAAATCTATTTTAGAAGCAGCTAAGTCAGTAAATTTGACTCGTCTTTTTTTTTGCTAATTTCTTAGAAATGCTCCTAGAAATTGCGTGGATATTTTTGCAGACCGTACATGCAGAGAAGTCCAACTTATGTACTAGCGTTTAATCTTAAAGTTTGAATTTTCTTTTAACACTAATAAGAAACAAAGGGCTCTAATTGAATTTTCCAAAGTTTGGTGTGGTAAGCTACAACGAGCCATGGAAAAAGAAAAGAATCACACCTGTAACTGACGAGGTTGGCGGCAAAAGTGATGGGCTGGTCTCCCCTGCCGATCCCCTGCTCCTGCACCAGCACCGGCACCCGCTTCCCCTTGAACTCCACGCGGCTGAACTGCTCGCCGAACCCGAAGAACCGCTCGTCGCGGCTGCTCGTGTACGTCAGGAACACGCGGTTGAACTCCTCCGGCCGCCGCTCCTCCGCCCTCTCGGGACCTGGCAGGAGCGCCGCCGACGCCTCCTCGCGGCTCGGGGTCGGGGCCAGCCTCGTCTTCTCGCTCGTGCCTCGCTGGACGCGCCCCGACAGACGAAGGCGTAAACTGGGCCGGTGGAGCCTCGGGCCCGTCGTGGTCGTCGCCGTCGCCGGGGTCGACTTGGCAGGGTCAGCGGCGTGCCCGCACGTCCATTGGTAGTCGCCGATCTTGACGCTGAACGCGACCTGCGTGTCGTTCTTCTCCTCGAGAACGATCCAGTACCGCGCCGAGAGCACTGGCCTCCCCGCCGCCGCCGCCGCCGCGCTCCGGGCGCGGCGACTTGCTGCGCGCAGCCCGCAGCAGGTGCACGGCGACGGCGACGCGCCCGCCTTCTTGGCGGACACGAGCCCGGTCATTACCAGCACCGGGAACCGCGTCGCGTCGGACGGCTCGAACGCGGCTGCGCGCAGCAGGTCGGCGCCGCCTGGGCCTGCCTCGGCGGCGTCGCAGCGGTAGGAAGCCTTGATCCTGTCGACGTGCTGGCGATCGGGGACGAGGCGGGCGCGGCCGTCGCGGAGCGCGAAGGAGCCGCGGCACTCGTCGGCCTCGGTGGCGGCGGAGGCCGCGGAGAGGAACGCCACGCCGGGGACGGTCTCCCACATCGCGCGGCGCGCCGCCGCGCCGTCACCGCCGTCGCCTGGAGGAGGAGGAACCCTGGACAGCGAGACCTCGCCGCCGCGGGACGGGTCCCAACGGAGGCGGAACCGGGTCCCCACGGGGAAGTCGTGCGCGTGGGCGAGCTTGGAGGTCGTCGCGAACGAGAGGCGCGGCGCCGCGTCGCCGTCGCGGATGGCGGCCGTCGGGACGGCGCGCGGGAACGGGTTGTTGAGGCGCGCGTGGTGCTTCTTGGTAGTCTTGGGCGGCGACGCCATGGCGACGGTGGTGATGGCGCGCACGGGAGAACGGAACGGAGAGCCCGTGCAGTGCTCTGCTCGGTCCAAGCCCATTCATTGGTTGAAATAGATTCTGGAATGACGGGGTGGGGCAGAGCGGTGGGTCCGGAGAGCACGCGCTCGTTTTTGACTGACGTAGTGACGGGTGTATTTGGGAGTAGTAGCTTGTGTTCGTAATTGCTAGATTTACCAATGAAGAAAGGATTATGGCCTGTCCGACAAGTAGGAATTTTGCGAAATACCACTGTTGAAATTGCACCAGAACTTATTACATTTCTGAGATATTTCTGCGTTCTGAACTGAGCATCGATGAATTTGCTATGCTAGATCGGCTGGTCAAGCATTTCGGGTGGCACTCTCGTGTCGTGGTCAGGATTAGATCCATCACGAGAGCAAATTGTAGTGGCGGAGATAAAAAAAATCCTCGTCTGCCCCCGTCTTACTCAAAGTACAGATTTGTGGCACCAACACACTCATAAAGTAACGGGCTCCTGTTTACAGGTGGGGTACGAGGTTCGGGGTTTTCTTGGACCGGGTGAGGAGTCATCTACCTTAATGCGAATGCTCGGGGAACACATGCTATCCCCATAGTTCAAGTTTTTTTTATAAAATATAGTTTATTTGATTAAATATTTAAAATGCATGTTCAAGATTTATTTCAGCACCAAGGTATACAATGATGGTTTGACCCAAATTCTACCAAGTGTACAATTCATTCTTTCAATACATTTTGAAGTTAAACTGACGTTTGAAACACCACTCATGCTAAAGCATCCTATTCTTAGTGCATCACGACATGCTTGCTCCACAGTCTACACACACATATATTCATCGTCCCATTACTAGGTACAGTTTGGTGTGCACCGGTCAATTTTCTCATGGAATTCTGAAAACTGGTCAAATCTTTGGGTTTGACATGTGTGTGTACGGAGTATAAACGAAACCGGTCTCCCACGTCCAGCCGGAGTGACGCGTATTTTTTTTGGCTTTGTTTATTCGGGTTGCCATTTTTGTCCTTATTTTGACACATGGAGATAGAGTTGTCCTCAACGGTTGCTTTATTAGCTTTCTTTCTAAAGCTTGTGGGACCTTATTATGAACGTGCCCGTGATTGTGGGAGCATACGACCAGCAAACGAACAAAGCCCAAGTAAACATTTGGCAGCTTATTTTTTCCGAGAGAGCAAAGAGTGAAGCTAGCTGATGTGCATGTCCAGGTACAATGGACCACACAGCTACTAGCTGCCTTTGAGTTACTGTAAAACGATGGACGTGCTGGTCATTGCTCTTTAATAAGTGGATACTACATGCTCCCTCCATTCCAAATTATAAGACGTTTTGATTTTTCTAAATATATTATTTTTATTATGCATCTAAACATAGTGTATAGCTAAGTGCATAACATAAGTCATTAATATAAAAAAACCAAAACGTCTTATAATTTTGAACGGATTAAGTACTATTTACGATGGACAAGTATTGTTTAGGATGATAACACGGTCACAAATGGCAAACTTCAGAATTAATTTCTGCAGTAACTACACAAAATTATAACCTACAAAAGTAATTTCAAGAGGTAATTACACCAACACAGCATCCTCTATAGACTTTGGGCGTCGATCAAGTTCACCTCTTAATGCATTCTGTTGATTGTCGTCGTTGCGACAAGACTTTCAGGTTTCAGCACCACGCGTGCATCTTCCCGCTATCACGGCATTGTTCTTCCAAGCAGAACAATATATGGGGCCCAGAAATCCCTCGTTCAGTAATCAGTAATCCTGATAAAGTTATCAATAATCCATCCTTGAAACGTACCCACCAGTTTTTTCACAGAATATGGAGAAATTTTACCGATTATTCTATAGACAATCTGAATAAGGATGTGTTTGGTAGAGATCTAAATTCTCGTACAAACATTTTGGATTGAGAATTAGAAGCACTAAATCATTTGGCTGTGGGCTGGATTCTAATTAAAAAATCATATAAATGAAAATATGCTCCTAAAAAATGATTTTATGGCCAAAGAACAACTTAAATGTAACCCCATTTTAAGTTGTTGCACTTAAAATGGATTAACTAGAAAAATATGTTGAGAAGGAAGAATCAAAATAATTGTGAAATCATGTTTTCACCATTTCACGTTTGTAGACGGTACATAGCGAATCGCTCCGAGGAAAAACGTTTTGTTGGCTCTGATTCTACCGATTTTTGTAAAAATCGAAAACGATCCATGGTGCCGAAAGGTGTCTGTATCGCTCCTTTTTTTTTACAACAGTAGTATCGCTCCTTTTTTTTTACAACAGTAGTATCGCTCCTTAAGAGTAAGACTAATAATATAGTCGGCAGACCGGCTGTGAGAATCTTTACAACCTTCTTTCAGTCCACCTATATAATAGTTAGCTCTTCACTATTAAAGTATGACTCACTTATCTCTCTCACAAAGTTTCTCGGTTCTTTTGTCTAAGCTAGTTATAAGTTTACAGTTCGTTTTTCTTCTCTCTCCTCTCCTCTCTACTTCGCCTTGACATTCAGCCGGCTTAGAGCCTGCTATTATACTTGCTCTAAGTAACCAACCGCCAATAATACTGGCCGATTTCAGGTTCGAAATGAATGCATGCACCTGGACGTGTTGGAGGCTTTGTTCACGTCTGCAGTCTACTGGAGAGGTATACGGCTCCGTTTGGCTTACCAGAAACCGATTTGTTCAGCTTATTTTTCCAGCCAGAACAATATTTTTCTCCAACAAACTCTAGTTGCGAGACACGTCCACGCAAGTGCACACTTTCGTAGTCTAGCAATTTGCTCACATATCAACTGGGCTTAAAACCGTCCAAAACATGATGGATTCACGGATTCAAACATCGGACTAATGACTAATCCATAGTTCATACAGATACTTACTGCCAGGTTAAAAATAGGAGACACGTAATCATAAAGCAAGTATTAGGAGATAAATAAAAGCATATTACACCGTATCAGAGGCTCGATGGCAGGATCAAACCGACAGCGGGAACTACACCCGTGAGCACTCAACTCCGTCAAGCCAAAAATGGCAGCACCCCAAACCCATATCAGGGAACGCACCCGTGAGCTCACAACTCTGTCAAACCAAAATGGTTACCGCGACAAATGAATCAGAGTTTCCGTTAGGAGTGCCAGGAAACCCGACTCTCGTCATCCTGGTTCCAATGTTTCTACCCTACGTTTTCTGCTACTCTAGCACCAAAAAAAATGTTGGCAAGGTATCATGTCTGCAACACTTGATTCCTGTTGGAGTGGTAAGAACAGCAGCAGGTTGATCTTCTATATCATACACAGAAAGGTCGGCCTAACTTGATGCCTTCAAATGTCAAGTTGTTCTATGCTGATCGTGCTAGCAGCTTCCTGGATCAGTTGCTTCCTATAATCAACCTGGAAATATGCAATATGGAGATTTAGTAACGTGAAGAATAAATACAGTATCTTGGAAGTGCTTTTAGGAATCTTCGGTTGCTTACCCGGGCACCCATAAGTGACGAGAACACAACATTGGCCTCAGCAGCATCTTCAACCTTAAGCTGCTTCAACAGCCGCCTCTCAGGATCCATCGTTGTTTCCCACAATTGCGCAGGCATCATCTCACCCAAACCTGTTGCGACACCAGAGAAGCAAATACAATATAAAGATGAAGGAAACATAAGAGCCACGGAATATGTAAAAACTTGAAACCGACATAAGACGATATAGTAATCCAGTCAGGGGGTGAATGGAGAAAAATAAGCTGGTGGATGGAGGTGGTGGAGGCGATGGTACCAGTTTGAGAGGTTTGTCAAGATGATATGGAGGCAATTAAAAATGCACATTGATGCAAGAAATATGATTTGGGTTTGATGTGCCAGGATATTTTCTTCGAAGTTCATAGTGTTCATGCTCATTAGTTAACTGTACCTTTAAACCTCTGGATATGATATGATGCATTTGCAGGGAAGGTGTTGACTATTTCTTTGAGATCAGCATCATCATAGCAGTAATGTGCTTGTTTTCCACGCTCAACCTAACACCGCAACATACACAACTCATAAAATTGATCAATTCATCTTCAAACTTTCTAAACTTGAAGCCACAATCAAACCTTATAAAGAGGAGGTACACCAACGTAGATGCAACCTTCATCAAATAATGCTCTCTGCAAATTGTATGAGTAAGGAAGTCAAAACCTTCATTGTTCAAAATATGACAATAGTATAAAACATTTGCCAACATCGGTACGGACAGTTGCTAGCTCAAAGCAAAATCTTTTGTGGAAGTTCAAAACAAACATGCTAGTAACAAAAAAAACGCTAACCAATTCTATATACCTAGTTCAACTTGTGCAAACCAAAACCTGGCCCTACAAGGAAAAGTGCCAACCGAGCCCCTAAAGTCCTATGGACTTCTGTATACTGAAAAAGACAGTAGCCCTTCGATGGGCTGAACGCTTGGGTAATTGGGTTTGACCAATACCATGTCACATTATCACCCGGAAAAGAAAATTCATGTTTCGGACCAAGGGGCAAGGGCGATCACGCATTCACACTGTTTGGATATTTGTGGGTTTTTCTGCATTGCCAATAGGGTACTGAAAAGACTTTCGGATGAAGAAACAGTCATAGACTTTCCTTCGGGTTTGACCTGTTCTCAACACCAATTCTAAGCCATATTGCAATTTTCACCCCAAACCCCATTCTAACCCAACTATCAACCATTTTAGTTTCACTTTTCAGGCGAGCATTATCTAAATCAAACCCTATCATTTAGACCTATTCACTGAATCCATCAACAGATCTTGTCGACAATTAAAAAACAATGTCAACAGTACTAATAGGCTGCTCAATCTGTAAACACTTATAAATGAAACAGATGAGGTACTTCAGTTTGCAGATGCTTCTTGGTACGTACTTGATATCTGAAGAAGAACGTAAGGAGGAGAGTCCGGATATGTGCCCCATCAACATCAGCATC